CAAGCTCTCTTTTCCTTGAGGATTTGTATTGAGAAGTCTGCTGTGATTATGATGGATTTTCCTTTATAGTTGATTGATTTATTTTTTTCTAACAGCTTTTAACATTCTATTTTTGTGTTGAATTTCTGGACTATTGCTTATTATATGCCTTAGTGAAGATTTACTTAGGTTATGGCTACTTGGAGTTATATATGCCTCATTTATTTGGATGTCTAATTCTTTTTTCAATTGGGAAGTTTTCTGACAGATCACTCTTATATTGTTTTTCTTTTTACATCATCTTGCAGTTGTTGAATTGATTTCATGGTTTCTTGATATTTTTAACAAATCTTTCTTTTTATGGTCAGTAACTGCAATCCTGTCTTCTAGATCTGATATTCTATTCTCACCTTTGTTCATTTGAATATACTTTCAATGGAATTTTTCATCTCCTGGATATGTCTGAATCTGTTTCATGGATTCCACTTCTTTCTTATATTGGGCATCTATGGTTTTTATCATTTTCCTAAGCTCCTCTATTTTTCTTTTAATCTATGTCTTATCTAGACTGAGCTTGTTTTTCATTCTGTCATTTCTTTTCTATCTGCAAGATTATTTTCTCTGTAGCCTCCTCATCCATTTTTTACTTCTTCTGGTATCATTTTAGAAAGTTCAAGTGAATAGCTTCTGATTTCCTCTCTCTTGTTTTCTTCTAGACTTGACTTGAGTGGGCTGAATGTCTGGGGTTGCCTTCTGCTTCTATGTCTTATTATTTTCTTTTTTTTTTTTTACTTTATTATGTTTTCCAACTTGATGCTTGTAGATTTACTATGGTAGATAGCTTTATCACTAGTATTTAGCCTTCTCTAGAAAATGTCTATTCCTCACAGATGTCTTCTAGATGTAGGTGATTATTGGTCTTTGTATGTATCCCAAAATCCTACCTTCCCAATTTATTAAGGATGAGAGGTTGCTATCTATTTAGTTCAGCACTCAGTCATTTAGTACTGGACTATGGTAATGCTTATGACCCCAAACACAGTGTTGTCACACAAGGGAGAACAACTGATTACAACAGGTATGTCATTCCAGCTAAAGAAGTACAATTAGCAATAACAATAGCATCAAGCACAGTCTAGCACCTGACAACCTGTGGTAACTATTAGTGTGGTACTTTAAATCATGTGGACAAGCTCTACTGTTATATAAAAAAATCAAACATATATGAGAAACTTTTATGCAATGAGTTTCCCCTTACTAAAGTGATTTTTGCCCTGTGGAGGGAAATTTAAGAAGGATAGGGGACACAATAGAGAGATAATTGAAGAGAAATAGTAGAAGCAAACCTGGAAGGCAAAGGATGCACACTGAAGCTTTGGGAAACTGGAGAGGAGAGAAGGAGAGAAAGAACTAGGGGACACAATAGAGAGATAATTGAAGAGAAATAGTAGAAGCAAACCTGGAAGGCAAAGGATGACACTGAAGCTTTGGGAAACTGGAGAGGAGGGAAGGAGAGAAAGAATGAAGATGAAAGCTAAAGATTTTGTAGCAAAACATAAAGACAGAAGACATTGTTCACATACGTGAAAATATCATAAAGTCAAGAAAGATAGTTGAACAAAGAGAGAAAGAAGAATCAAACAGAACAAAACTAAAGGTTAAAAAACCTGAACAACCAAAAAATAAAAATCAGAAAAAGGAAAATGAATCAAGCGAACAAAGAAAAATAAATCCCTGTTGTATCCTCTGTTTTAGTGTCCATTAGAGCATGAAAATGTGCTGTGTAATCCCTCCAAGTCTGCAGTAAGATTAGTGTAGAGTATGGGGCTGTTTTTGACCTCCAAATGTAGGGGCTGTGCCCATTCTTCAGCTAGCAACTTTTCAGATGTCCCTCAGGTGGCTCACTCATGCCTCCCCACCACAACCATCTCTACACCATTCTTCCAGGTGCTATGGCACCCTTAGATGCAGCCAGCCCCAGGCTGCCTGTCCCTTGGATGTAGGCTGCTCCCAGGTCAGTGCACAGTTTATCCCTCCCAGACCTTGCTTGGGTTCCTCTGTTCCACACAACTGATTATTCTCATGTGCTAGCCATTGAGTGCAGAAGGTACCCTGTCCCAATGCTGGCCAAAGCTGCTTTCTCACCCATACCTCCAGTCTCACAGCATGGATATGCCTTTAGCCCTTTGTAGCTAGCTAGATCTAAGACTGGTTTCTGAAAGCTGTCAGAGGGGATTCTATGTAGTCTCAGGCCTTTGAAGTACCTCACCAGAATTCCCTCCAGTCTGTTGTCCAACTTCCAGCAGTCTGCTGTACCTGGATGGCCCTTCCCTCCTTCCACTCTGGGGCATTGGCAGTGAAGCACTCCTAGGGCTGCTCTGATGTTGGAGTTCTTGCCCTTTTGAAATAAAATAGCTATTGCCCAGTGCTGATCTGTGCAACTGTGTGCCAGGTTGCCAACCACTGACTCTGGGGGGTGGGGGAGTCACTTGAGAAACAATGTCTCACATTTTCACTGCTTCCTCCAATTGCATAAAATTCTCCTGATCCAAGTCTGGTCTTCCTTTAACAGTGAACAGCAAAATTGTTTTCACTGCCTCCCTGCTGGGGCAGGTATAGAATCATTCTGGTATACTGCATAGTCTCTGGTCTGTAGCAGTGAGCTCTTTCTTCTGTAGTAATGAATTATTTTTTCTTCTCCTCTGTCAGTTCCACTGTGGTTCCTCTGTGCCCTCCACTCACTTTGTTTCTTCTCCAGGCTATTGATTTCCAGACCTTGGGCACTTTGTCTTAGAAAAGCCATGCTGCTGGTACTCACTGCTCTGCCATGTTTCCCTCCCTGATAAATATTTTATAATACTATTTTCCTCACTTTTAAATTACATGATAGCAAGCTATGTCAATACCACCCATAGAATTATTATCATTGACCACTATTGGAATTTTTTTTAGTTTTATTTCTTCTTTCAACTTTCATCATTTCTGGATTATGAATAGTTGATGACAGGAGATGTCTTTTTTGTCTTTCCATTCTAGAACAGACTTCCTCTCTGATATGCTAAGATTTCT